TTTTGGACTCTAATCTGGCAACCCTGTTGACTCTGAGGTTTACAGTCAAGAAAAAGATTAATCAATTTGTCTTAATAGCCAAGGGAGCAAACTTGTCGTGTTTGTGTGATAAACTTATCTGAAATGCAAATAAAAATGTGGCTGTGTTTCATTCCCTTGTGAATCTCCACCCACACCGTCCTGTCCATACTGAGTGTGGCTCCTAATCCCAGTGGGTGATCAGGGACCCCAACTGTGTGTTCCCTGCCTGACGAGACCCCTTGGGAGGATGTATCGTTTCTCAGCATTTAGAGGGAGGCTGTGTCAGGGCCGTCCTGAAGGATGTGGGCAGAGCTCCCATCTGCTCTACTTGTCCCCAGCACACACCTGCAGGCTGGTCCCATATGGACATCTCTTGGCCCCAGAAGGAATCTTTCCCATGGACACTTTCTCATCAAATTCCATCTTATTCCTGGAATCTGATCTCCTGATTCCTGGCTCTGTTTCACTCCTATCAGGTTAAATTTAGGGCAACTTTCTGCTCCCCTGCAGTTCTTGCCCCAGCTTTTCCTAAATCTTGGAAGTACTTAACCCCCAGGGCAGGACATAGTTGGAGCTGTTGGTCTTCTTTTTCATTTGCACTACTGGGGAGAGGGAGGCATCCTTCTGGGACCTGAAGAAGAGCCAGCATGGTGTTCCCAGTCCCAGAAGGCTGCTTTCTCTTTCTTTTGCTTTCTTTTTTCTAGTCTATTCAAGATATCTTAAAACAAAATGACAGATTTCCTCAATCTCCTGCCAATTTAGCTTTCAGATCTTTTGCTAAAATAAAACCTCTCTCTCCTTCTTCTGAATTCTAATTCAAATCCCTCTTCTTATGGGTGTGTGTGAGGATACGGGTACGCGGGTCTTTTGAGCAAAAGCGTTTAGCACTATAATGTGTCAGGCACTGTTGTAGATGTTTTCACATGTTTATTTATTTCTCCCAACAACTCCCCAAGTGTCACAGTACTGTGACCCCCAGACCTCACGTGATGAAGCTAGTGAAGAACAGAATTAGGATTTGAGGTCCAGGGGTGGGTCCCTAGAGACGTGCTCTTAACTGCCATCCTCTACTCCTTCTCTGCAGTGTTTTCAAGCAGAACCACTTCATAAGTTTTCGGGCCCAGTGCAAAATGGAAACGCAGGGCCCCTGGTTCAGAAATTATTATGAATTTCAAGATGGCAACAGCAGAACATTGAACAAAGAACAGGACTTCTGGAGTGTGGGACCCTGCACTACTGCACAGGTCGCATGCCCAACAAGCCAGCTCCATCTATGGATCCTCACTTGTAATTGTGTGTGTGCACGTGTATTGGGCTACAGTGGATATCAAGGAGAAGGGCGATTATTATTCCCATCTAAGACAGTGTTGTATCAAAGATACCATCCTGATTTTGATCCTCGTACTGTAAGATGTTAACATTTGGGGAATATAAGTGAGGGTATAAGAGATTTCCTTGTACTGTTTTTTTCTATGTTTTTAAATGCCTGAAATTATTTCAGAATGAAAAGTCAAAAGTTCAAGAACGTTTAAAGCTAAGTGAAGCTGCGACCTCAATGGTGAATAATTTCCTCCATTCTCCTGTACTCAATCCTTCCCGTTATTCCTTCTTTCATCACCATTGTTTCATTTCAGACGCTGATGGTTAACAGGCTGAATCCTCTTTTTTGGCTTCTGATAAGCAGAGCGGAGTCAGGTGTTAGATGTGGTACGAGACCACTGACGGCGAGATTGCACAGTGACCACGGTCCTGATCACTACATGCCCTGGTCCTCATGGAATTTCACCACTTCCTACTCAACTCCTAAGAAGAAGACTGTTTGGCTGGCTGTTAGCTTTCATCAAAGTTATATACAAAAAAACCAGTAGACTTAGTTTTATACAAAAAATTCTCATAAAATATCTTCTACCACTATAAATACAAGCCTAAAGATAATGATATAATCAACGTTTTCCTCTGAATAGTCTAAAATGGATTTTGTGAGTTTATCCATTCATTTGTGAAGAAAAATTATTGCCTTTATATAGATGGAAAAAGTGAGACAGAGGAACGAATCAACTGGGGGCGCTGTAGCAGGTACATCTTGTTTTCGTATCGTTGATCTCGTTTGTTTAGTCCTCTAAAATGACAAATTAATTAGCCATTGGGTGCTCAAAATTGGCAGTTCAGTATCATAACACCATAGCAAACATTTCTTCATCACGCAGAGCTGCCCACTCCATCTCAGTCCGTTAGTTCCCATCTCTGCGATTAGTTTTAAATACAGTGTGTGATTGCAGGAGGGCCGAAAAACAAGATAAAACAAATGCCTAAAATCTTTTCACATGGCCAAAATTAAGTGTGCAGAAAAAGTCTTGTATATTCTAAATGCATCATTCTAAGTGTTGCTAAGAACCATACTACTGTAAGATTGTAAAATAAATCTAAATAAGCAACAAATCTATCCTCATACTGCCTTTGTTAATATACTTCTATAGTTTTATTTTGTCTTTATTTTTAAAGTGATCTTAAACAGAATTTCATTTCATTATTTTTTAAATAATGAAAGACTTAGCCAACTTGGACAATGGCAATAGTGAAGGTGAAGAAAGCAAAGACAACCTCAAACCGAGCTTAAAAGAAAACTGCATTCGCTTCTTGATGGTCTAGGCACGGCTGAGCAGGGATGGCTCAATCTTTGGAGTTGCTGATCACCCCCTGCCAGCCCTTCAGCCCTGTGCCTTGCCCACAGGAGAAGAGGAACCTGAAAAGAGAAGCTGCTTTGACATAAGCAAGACTAGAGATCAGGGACACCCCTTTTAATCATGATTAATTTTTAAAAGTTAATCAAATTTAAACAGATTTACGAAATTACGTTATAAAAATGAATGTGCACACAAGTAATCAGGAGCAAACTATATTTTATAATCCCCAGGATCCTAGCCCAGGGTCAGACAGACAACATGGCTGCTGCGAGTAGAGCGGGGTCTGCAGCAAAGCAGAAGGTGGTTGCCTGGCTGCAGTGAGGAGACGAAAGTTAGACCAGTCAGTTGTTGCCTTGAATAGCCCAGTTCTGTTGGATTTTCTATAAATTGTTTATAATTCAGAAATCTTTTTGGCAGTATTAACTAAAGCTGAACATATGCATATTCTGTGTCCCAACAATTCCACTTCTAGGTATAGATCCAACAGAAATATGTATATAAGTTCCCTGAAATATTTTCAGAGAATATTTACAGAAACATAACTCATGGCAGCCCCAAACTGGAAATATTTCAAAGGCCCTCAATAGTAAAATGGACAAATACATTGTGATATATTCATAAAATGAAATTCTATTCAGCGGTGAACGGGAATGAACCACTGTTATATGCAGCAGTGTGGAAGAATTTCATAGACAAATGGTGAGCAGGTGAAGGCAGATGATGTGTACAAAAGATTACATTCTATATGATGCCATTTGTATTAAGTTCAAAAAGGCAAAATTCTTCCTTGATGATGGAAGTCATAATGGCAATTACCTTTAAAGATGGGGAGCAGTGTGAAAGACTTTGGGGTGCTGGCGATGTTCCATATTTAGATTTGGGAGGTGGCTACAGGAGGATGCCCATTTTGTAAAAATGCATCACTAAGCTGTACGCTTGAGGTTTGCATTTTATTGCATGTATATTATATATTACCCTTCAATGTTTTAAAATAAAACATCCATATTTCTGAAAGAAGCTTAAGTGTCCTGTTTATGTAATGATTCTAGATTTTTATATTAGAAAACAACTCAAAAATCGTAAAGCAACATAGGAGGCAAACCAAATACATCTGTTGGCTGCACGGGTATGCTGTTCTCCGGTTTAGAGCTTCTCTTCTAGGGCAAGGAGGTCTTTAGAGTAATATTTTCTGATTCATAATTCAAATCACAAAAGGACTTATTAACTTCTTCTATCAGTGAATTGCTGCGCCCATAACAAACCGTGCCGGGAAGACCTTCTCCTTGCCCAGTGGCTCAGAGAGCGGAGTTGGTTTGTCCAGGTGCCGGCTGGAGCTACACAGTATTTCACCCTGGATGTTCTGCTAACGCGCTCAGCTCCCACACAAGCGAACAATTTAAAACCCTCAAGTAGTTATTTATCACACCCTTGATTTGAAATTTAAGGCATAAGACTATCTGGATGGGGCCCATACACTCAAACCTTAGAAATGTTCTGTTGTAGAAAATCCCAGTATAACATCTTTTTTCCCTAAAATAAATTGGGGGAAGGATGGAGGAGAGGGCACTCGGGCAGCTAACACTGCAGAGGAGATCCCCCAACCCCTGTGTTGCCCCAATCTTAATTCTATCTGGATATCTAAATAAATTCTTACTTAACCAAAGCCTACTTTTCCTCACAATTTCACACACGAGGAAGATAGGATTCACATTTTAACGCTGGCTTAACCTGAAAGTAAAATAAGATTTAAGCATATTTTATGTGTTTGACTTCTACACCTGCTGACAAAATATGCTAAGTCATTTAAAAAGCATAATGGTGCAAGCTGCAGATTACAGCAGCTTAGTGTGCAAGCCTAGTGTCATGTAGTCTTATCTTTTTGTTCACCTTATGCTTTAAGAAATATTTAATTTATATCTTTATATATATAGTATCGATGTGAACAAATCCTTTTTGAAATATGTAAAATATTCATGATTTCAAATATTTTATTGCCATATCCTAATGCATATTACTTTATAATATGTTACAATTATGCACCCAATTTTTAAAATGACATTTAGTTATATGGAGAGAAATCCAAAGATGAGTGGTGTTAGAGAAACTTGATCAAAGAATGAGGCCAAAGGCCCTGGAAAGTGTTATTCGGCAATCCAGGTAGCAGCAACGCTAGGAAAATCACTCACTTCCTTCTAGTACTGAAACTCCTACTCCAGCTGTCACTTCTATTTTAACTATCATATTGTAAAACAAAATCAATTGCAGAATATATTTTATTTAACCTAAAAGCCAAAATTATAGAAACCAGAATTTTAAACAAAGTTTAATTTTAGGCACAAAATACAAATCATTTTCTTTGTTTTGACAAGTTTAATCTTTAAAAATATTCTAATGTAGATGGGGGAAAATTAATGTAGACTGGGGTCTAGTCTTCCATCTACTGTTTAAACTGAGGAAGTAAACTGTTTAGCGAAGTAAACTCTTTAAACTGATGACATTTACAAAAAGACAAGCAAAACAAGGGAAATTGATGTTATAAAAGATAAGTATTACAGCATTCTTAAATATGATTCTTTATGAAATGAAAATGAGGAGGGTGTCTTCTGGCATACTGTAATCTTTATAACAAGCACATGGCATATAACATACTTCCGGATGCCAAGAACTTTAAACCTCAACTTCTGTAAAGCTGTTAACATGAGTATTTTTTAAAGGCTGGGATATGTGAACTACAGTAGCAGCAGTTTAAAACAGAAGGATAGGAAATAAAGGGAAATTATATTACATTATTATAAACGTATTCATTAACTTCTATTGGAGATTTTATTTTTATATAAGAACAATTATAGTTATCTTTTCAATTAATGCTTATATGCATGAATTGGAATTACCCTACATTAAAACTTTCTGAAGTAACTGAAATCAGCTATAAAAAATACACATAAGCGCAGACATGTGAGAGAAATTATTTCCCTCTTGTGAAAAATGTCTGGGAGTGTTTCATCAGGCAATATATAATATTAGAGATAAAAATTGCGAACTTGAAATAAACCAAAAGGACTTAAATAGTATATTCTATTTTGAGTCCAATTGTTTAATACGGTATTTAAATTTAAACTTTTAATTACTTTTTCATGTATAGAATGCAAGATTTCTATAATATTTTTTCTTTTTGCTTTCCACAATGTTAACTGAAAAAGGAGAGGGACATATTTAACATAAAAATAGAGGATGAATCCTGAGATCTCCTAAAAATGTCTTAATGTCCTACAGACGTGGGCACTTGTTCCATTGTATATAATGGAACACCATTTTTGAAGAAATTAGTACCGTCCCTTTGAATCCTGTGCTTCCTCCAGGACAAGAAGCTATGACTAAGTTGTTCGACACGGCATTACGATGAAAAGTCTTTCTAATTCTATCTTTCCTAAAATGGGCTCTAGTTCTTGTAATTCACATGACACCCTTTGGCTGTGGTTGTCTGTTAAATTTCCTGTTTTGGTCTAGTTTCAGCAAACCAAAACAAATAGCTCACAGAAAAGGCTATGGTAACTACTTTTGTTTTCCTTTCGGTGTTTCCAGTTAAATGTTTTCTCCTTACAGGTTCAGAGAAAGGAAGGAAAATAGCCACAAACAAAGTGTAAGCAGGTCACAGAAGTTTCAGTGCGCCAAAAAACGTGCCATCTCCATCCCGGGAAATTTTAGCATCTTCACGTGGTATTGCAAGTTGGAGTTCATCTCCTTCTTCCAGCTTTGCAATGCCTGGAAAAGAATGATTTACAAGAATTTTAAGTGGTTGTACAATGGGAAAGGAAAAAAAAGCATTAAATAAAATTATTTTGTTTAGGAAAAAAATGGTAACATAGGCATTTGTACTTCAAATTACACCGGTGGACTTCAAAACCAGTTACTGTCCTACTAGCCCAGCCTAAAAGGCATAGCACATCCCTTGACAGAATATTATATAGTTAAAAGTGGTTTAGCTTCATTTTATTGACACACATACACACTTATGTATATACTGTATAGTCCTAAATATACTTTTAAACGTGCCCATAAAATGTGTAAATTATTAAAAAGTAAAAACAAAAGACCATTTATTAACAAAGCACATCTGTTGACAGAGTCCAGACAGTGGGATTAGGAGTTATCTGGATTACTTTTTCTAGCCTTCTATATTTTGTGTTTCCTTAAATGACCATATTTGTCTCCATAATCAAAAGCCACAATGTAATTAGCTTCTCAAAACTGACCAATAAATCTACCTGTGCCTAATTTACAATGATGTATTTTGTGATTCAGGACTACAAAACACAACGCAGGAACTACACTCAGTATATCGGGTAATTCCTGACCCCACCTTAAAAGGAAAATATGAAGGAAAAGAAAGAGGAGAAAAGGGGAGAGGAGAAGAAACAAAGAAACCAACAAAGAAAATAGTATCTGAATTGTCAGTACCCCCAGCTAACGATTTAAAAAGTAGTTCCATCGTTTCGTTAACATATGGTGAAAATGTATTTACACGAACACATCTCTGTTAACATCTATTCTACCATTACGCTCAATGCAGCTGGATTTCCTCGGGCGACAGCCCGTCCATGTTTATTTACTGAACACTCACGATGTACCAGACACCTTTCTATACACGCAAAGAGCAGAGACAGTGATCAGAATGACAAAAGATTCTGTCTCCAAGGATCTTGCTTTTTTGTAACGGACCAAGACAGACAAAAAAACAAAACAAAACATAGTTTTAGGTATTGTTAGGGGTAATGTGTATACTTCCTAGGATTGGCAAAGCATTTGATGACTACATTAAATAGTAAAAAAGAATTGGAATTTATTTGTTGAATACATTAGTCATTTTCATAGAGATAGATAATCTAATATTTTGACAAATAACACAGAGTGTTATTATTAACTCTCAAAATAAAGTCACGTGAACCGACTAGTTTTTAAAGTGAATTCTATTTAAAATTCCAACACTGAGTTATTGGTTATTTCAATTCTTACAGATTATAGCAATCAGCTCTAACTTTTTCTTCAATAAACATACTCAATTTGTCAATGAAATAATGTGTAAGATTCAGCTGTATGTATAAAAGAGGTTCCTTGGTATTATGTTGGGCTTCTCAAATGGACTATTTTAATTTTTTTCAGGTTATTATGGAAGTGCTTTATGCACTTATACACTAATGTGTAGTTTTTAATGATTTTAAATAAAATTGCCCTGGAACAGAATAAAATTGCAAACTTGAAATTTCCTAGAGAACGGTTCTCGTATATAATACTAAGCTAGTATCACTGAGAAATATCTTAAAGGTGTTGATGATTAGAATATTTGAAAAAGAGTCTATTGGAAAGCTATAAGTACTAATGAATTTAAATACATAATGGATTGGAGTAGCCTTGCCATTTATAAAAAGTTTGCAACACCAAAAACTAGTCACCACTGGACATAGGGAAACATTTCTTTATGAAAATTAGGGAATTCCAACTTAACAAACTTCCTCATCACCCCATTAGAGCTCTTTTTGGCTACAGATCCAGAATGACAATCGTCTCCGTTATTACGAACTATTTTTCTTCCTGAGTTATTGTGCATCTATTAGTAAACGTCTTTGAAATATACTTCAAATTGCACAGCCAATCCCCAATCCCGTGTTTCACACTGTCATTCATAGCAACATCTGCAACTGCAGACAGCCCTCAGCGTTTCTGACACAAAATGAAAGTTGTGCTGGTAATTACAGCCAAAGTAGACCTGACATGAACAAAGCCCGCCCCTTCCCTGTTCTCTCCATGTCTTCACTGCCCCAGAGATGAAACGCAGGCTTGCTCCTACATTTTCACATCCCAACGTCATCTCTCTGGTGTCCATTTACACCAGATGTCACCTGTATGAAAGTGAGAGAGAGGACATTGTGCAACTTGACTTCACCCACAAACCAGCCAAGGGTGTCTCTTTTGCAGCCCGTAAAGAAGAGTTTTGGAGGCTCACACTCTGGCATTAGACCACTGCTTTAAACCAAGTTCTGCAACTTAGTAGCTGTTCGACCCAGGACAAGCGGTTGAAGCGGTTGCCTCTCTGTCTCAGAGTCCACCTCCCTTAAGCGGGGAGAATTAAATGAACAAGTGTAGGTTAAGTGAAGACAAGGGTGCTTGGCACATGGTAGTCATTCTCTTATTATTCTATTATTATTGTTGTTATTACAAATTAAAGAAAATACAGCTTAGAATTGTTATCGGTGTTGATTGCTATGAAGTTACTGCCCTTTCTAAATGTATATAAAAATGATAAAACTATTAGCAATGATTTCATCTGTGTCAATTAAAACGGACTAGCTTATCATTCAAGATAATAAAAAGCACACAGTTTATGAGGACTCTCTTTCTATCTTATTTATATAGAACTATTATTTACCAGCTGAATAACAGGAATTATTGGGTAGTGTTTCAGGCATATTTTGAATACATCGGAACAAAGTCACCAGACTCAATTCATCCCCAAAGACATGGACTTTTTTTCTCTGTATTAGATGTCCCATGGCAAAGGTGTTATCGGTGTATAAAACCTGAGAAACAAACCAAAGAACTTTGTCAGAAGTGAGCACAAAATGGGAGGCACTGGACAGCGTGAGCAGAATTAGGGTTGGACCTACCTGACCATATATAAAAAAGTAACCGGTTTCTTTGACCAATATTTTATTTTCTCTTTCTTCTAGGGCTCTTCCTCTTTTAAAGCTGAGAAGCCACGGAACAAACGTGTAAGCTCCTACAATGAAGAGAACGATTTATAAGAAAAAAATCTGGGAAAAGCAATTTTTCACCTCCACTTAGTTACTAAACTAAGTATGAAACTTGGAGGAGAATTTCATGTTTAAAAAAAGAGGAAAAGACGAAGAATCACAATACTCCATTGGTTTCTCAGCCATCATTTACATATTGACCCGGGCAATTATCAGATACAGGAACTTGAGGGCAAAACTTCATATGAAATGTCTGGGTTTATTTTTATTCTTCTGTATTTCAGCAATTTTCATAATAAAGTCTCGTCTGGATGGCAGAGTTTGAGGCAAAGAATGGACAGATGTCTCTGAACAACACAGTAATAGAGATTTTCCAGTTTTTCTTTGGTTCCCAAGAGGAGGGAGTTAGTATGTGGAGAGTTTAGCAAAGGGCATGAGGAGGAAGCCCCCTCTCCAACATGGCAACAGAACAAAGCTTCAGGAGAGCCAGGAAAGTCACTAAGACACCATATTTACTAGGAGATGGTCAAGGAACCTTGTGATGATGGTCTGTAATATTCAAGTTGGAGTGGTTTCTGTTCAATATGCTAATTCTCCTCCACTGTCCCTCAGACTTCACTTAGGAAGTGACAGGGAAGGCACTGTGCTCAAGAGTTGGATGAAGGGCAGAGAGAAGACAGTGGCTGCAGAAATGAGTAGGTGAGAGGCGACCAAATCTCGGAGTCAGAAACTCGGTGCTTTTGGACACCAACAGCCAGGAAGACAGTATAAACACTCCTTTCCCAAGAATTCACAGTGTAAGCTCACCTTTATGTCATGTAAATATTGGAGAAAATGGTGAACCCTGAGGCTAGATTAGGAAACGTGGGGGGTATAAATAAAATGCTATAAAATAAATGAGGAGAAGATTTGAGAAATGGCAATATAAGGAGAGAATAGTAAAACGAAACTGTGGTAGTCTAAAATCATATAAAAACGTTCCTATATAATTGGTAATGTTAGACCACACGTGTCCCCAAGCTTCACCTTGGTCATAGCAAAAAGGGAAATAAATAATAAAATTCAGAGTCCACAAGATGGTAAGCCAGAAGCTCAAGAAAAGAACAACCTGTCCAAGATTGAGCTTAAAGGAAATTTTCCCGTGTGGATTTTCAGAAGGGGGCACCTAGGATGTGGTCGTTGACAATGCTTTCACATTCATAGATACAATTAAGTGTATGTGCCTTCTTAGATAGTGCCCCCAAGGCGAACCTTTCATGTTTGAACTTTTCCCAGATAGGATTCTCAAGGGAAGAACATAAAACAAGAACCACATATTTTCTGAATATTTCTGAGGAGTTAAGAACGCTAGGTGATAAAACAAAGCAAATTACACTGTGAATTCAAGTAAAAATGAAACAATTCCTTAAGGCATCCCTCCCAGTCCACATCACCATGGACAGAGGGAGGCACTCTGTGAAGGAGAAGGAGAGAGGAAGGCAGGAGGAGACGGATGGGTGTGTGAAGAGACATCAAGATTTTCAGCACAGGCTCGTGCCCACTCCTCTCATGGGCTCCCAGGAACTGCCCCTGTCTCTCACAGGGAGTGAATGCCCCTCAGAAGGGGCAGGCCCGACCACCCCAATTCGCTCTTCCCAAAGAAAGTCTCTGGGAAACATTTTCCCTTAAATGAAAACCCTCCAGTGCCATACTGGATAAAAATAATCCATGAATAAAAGATCTCAATTACAAATAACAGAGGCAAACTTAACATCGCCTGTTTTTATACATCATTTCAGTGAAAAGATTATAACAACGTAGTTTTAAATTTTGTTTAAATATCATGTGCCCAAAGAGTTTTTTAAAGTAGAGTGCCAAAAATATGAGGAAGAATTAATATCATGGTGGTTGTTGTTATAAAACACAAACTGATGACTCTGAAGGCAATTACTGTGACGGTGGTAATGATAACTTATTTGATGTTCTGACCAAAGAGGGATTTTTTTCCTTTCAAGACAATACACATCTTAGACTCTAATTTCTCTGAGTTAAGGGATTGTTTATGTTTGGTTCCCTGCTATTTCTCCAGGGCCTAAAATGATAACTGGCCTACAGCAGACATGCAGCAAATATTTATTGAATTAACTAATTCAACTTTAAACAGAACTTAATTCAAAATGGCCGTCTACTATGCAATTAGTCACAAACATTCAATTGTTTTTTAAAAGCATTTTGCTACCTAGTTACCAAAACTCTGGGAAACAAAACACCCACCATCATAGAGGTAGTAGGTACACTTGAACTGAAGTAAAACACATAATTCTGAAACTGCTTGTTTTATATTCTAAAAATTTTTTAAATATAAAAATAGTTTTATTAAAAAATATATTTTTGCAATACCTTTAATTGATTTCCTATTTCTTTACACCATACTTAGCTCTATAAAATTGGTGATCCAGTTCTTACCAAATTGCACTGCTGTATTGTCATAATAGAAAGAAAAACAAGTAGTCATTAGGTTTATATTCTTATTTTCTCTTGATATTTTCTTTTGGTATTTTATCATATCTTTCTGGAAATATTCTTATTAAAGAGAGAGTACATGTTTACTTGTTTTCACGTACTGTTTGTATTTCTCCCCCACCGCACACACACACCTATATACACGTACACACTTACACTCCATAGGGCCAAGGCTATGAGTGTGCTCTAGTCATAGTGGAAACCCACATGCTAAGAAAAGAGCCTAGCACGTGGTATGCACTCAATAAATATGTCCTGCTGAATGAATTTTAAATCCTTTAAGTAAACAGGCTAAACAATAAATTAAAAGCTAAAGTAATTATAAAGTTAAACATGAATATTATAACATGTTTCTACATCTTATGTAATTTTTAGCATGCTCACTAGACTCCAGATAAACGTTAACAAGAAAATATGCATGAAATGCCTATTCTGTGGAATGCGTTTCTAAACTAGCACGCATCCCTCCTTACAGTAGATATTTAAGAATTTGGAAGTAAACTCCAGGAGCATTAATGCTTATTTTATTAGTCAACAGCTAAAAGACAGAGGTACCTTGATATATAAAGTTTGAACTGCCCAACTCCATTCAGCTTTAAATACTTGATGTATTTAAATGTTTTTGAAAACTTAACAAAATTAATATGTATATTACTATGTGAAATTAAATAAAAATAATGCTGCTAGTATTAATATGTGAAAATAATTTACATGTATTTCTGAAAATGTCTGCTCTTAAAAGAGTAGATCTTCCCTCTTCTGACATATATGAAAGAGTTGTAGATACGTTTCAGGATGACAAAGTTTTATAGAAAAATTAGATATATTTCACTAATATATGTTTTTTATTCTATTTTATGAATAGGAAATTTCCTTCCAAATATTTATACTTCTAGTGTTACCTCCCTCAATAACTGACAATAAATGCTAGAGAGAGCAGCTGTCAATCATAGCTATCACATTTGGTCACTTCTCTTGATTTTCTATTTTATTATCTTAAAGGTGCTTTAAGTAGTTTTAAGGAAGAAGATATTGATAACACCTTTTTAAACGTAGATTAGGTAAGCCTATTCAAGAAACAGTGACTTTTTTTGTTAAAACAAATGTGGTTTGGTATTGAAATCCACAGTAATCAGATGCTTGATTCTGTGATGAGGTAGGGTTAGGAAAATCAACAGGAAACAGAAGCCAGCCAGGCAGGGCCATGCAGGTTGAGTGATCTGAAGGGCAATGGGACAGCCCTGCGGAGCTGTGAACAGCGGAGGGAAATGACTACATCTGGGTTTCAGAAATATCACCACCTGGCCACCAGGTAAGAAAAGGTGAAAAACCAGAGGCAAAGAAACCAGCCAAGGTGAGGGATGATGGTGGTTTGTACTAGGATGGTCACATGGGAGTGAAGAGCAATAGATTAATTCAAATTATATTTATGAGGAATAATTGATAGAGTTTTGAGATTAGAACATAGAATTAGAGGGAACAGTCAAGAATGACACCCAGAATTCTAGACCAAACAACTTAAGACATAGTCACTCACTTACCAAAACAGGGAACCTGGAGGAAGAAGAGACTTGGGGAAAAGTTCTAGAGTTCAGGTTGAGATGCCACCAAGATATTCAGGTAGAGAAGTAAATAGACAGAGGTCTATATAGGCTTGGAGCTCAGGGAAGTGATTTTGGCTATATTTAAGCCATCAGCACATAGATTAAATGACAAGATAGGAGTATTTAAGAACACCAGAGACATAAAGAATGAAGAGAATGAGACTCTGAAGCACATCAATATTGAGGAGATACATTTAAGAATAATTTGCAAAGAAGTTTAAAAAGGAGTGGCCAAACAGGTAGGAACACGGTTAGAGAAACAAACTAAGGGGAGCATGTGTTTCAAGAAGAAGGGAGTCACCCAGTGTCAAATGCTATTGTGAGATTAAAGGTAAATCTCATCATTGCCTCTATGAAATAATTACATTGAAAAGTAAAAATAAACGAGAGACTTCCACCAGCAACATGACTCTGGAAACTACACCTCTCCTTTTTTACCTCCTGTAAGTCATATGAAAGAGACAGACAGATGCATGTTCTTCAAAGTAACTGCCAGGGCTGCCAGAACCACGGAGGCCACACTGAGGCTGAGTGTAGAACGGAAGAGAAGAAGCGACAAAATGCTGAGGGGGCCTGGCAGTGGCAAACTTCACAAGAAGCCAGCAAAAAGCGCCTTGCTAAAGGTCAAAAACCCCAGATACATACAGAACCTCCTACAGATGGACAGCCCAGGAGAAGAACCCCATATACACACAGAACCCTCCTACAGACAGACAGCCCAGGAAATTTCAATGTCAGCTAACAGAACTTGGGAAAGTAGGAGGAAAAAATGAAAACTCATTTAAGCAAAAATAAAAGTAGAAGTTTCAGAAGGGAAAATAGGTTTTGCACAAAACAAAATGAGATGGAAATAAAGAAAGAGTTAAGAATTTGAGAAAAAAATGTAGAACTATAGAATATAGAAGACAGGTAAAGAATTA